AGTGTATAAGGTTGTGTAACACCCTAATCCGTCCAGGTCTGCAGCCCCTTTCGGACTAAAGTATTTAACTTGGTAATCATAAAATTTAAAACTTTTCAAACACATTTTATTAATCTCAATAATATTTTTCATAACATATACAGTACGGAGTATTTAACAATATTGCGGAAGTGAATTTAATATTGACATATCATAAATCATTTCAAACTTGTCACATCCATCCCGACAATCTCGCCCCATCTGCCGCCAGGATCACATTGTGCTTTCTGCTTACCTGCGTGTAGCAAATAAAACACACTACACCCTCAGCGGTAAAGCTGAGTAAGCATATCTAATGCGTCGAACATCCATATAAACTGAATCTAAATTCATAATCAAATCATTTGATATCATGCACACAATGTTCATTTCAGACATTCACAGTTTTGGTATTATTCAGTTCATATCAACACATTTTATTCAATTCAGATATTAATCCAATAGTGCTCTTAAATTATTCTTAATCTAAGGCCAGATCATAACAACGCTCTTAGCTATTCTTAGTCTAAGGCGAGATCATAATAATGCTCTTAGCTATTCTTAGTCTAAGGCCAAATCATAACAACGCTCTTAGCTATTCTTAGTCTAAGGCTAGATCATCATTCTCAGACGCTTAAACTATAATTAGTTTAAGGCAAACATTTCTCAGACGCTTAAACTATAATTAGTTTAAGGCAATAGTTCTCCGACGCTTAAACTTTAATTAGTTTAAGGCAATCAATTCTCAGACGCTTAAACTATAATTAGTTTAAGGCAACAATAAGACAATAATTAATCATCATTGAGTCGAAGTATTTCCAAACGAGTGATCCTCTAGCTAAGTCTACGAATCCCGTTTATACATTTTTATCTAATTCATCGAATATTCATGTTTCAAAAATCCACACCAATATGAGATCTATTCTAGAGGTCTTCTAGATAGCCTTAACATCAATTTTCTAAATGTGTATACCTTGGAGTTCTTCTAGATACCCTTAACACTACAAATCGTTTCATAATTATAAATGTATTCATTTTATTCATGATTCAATCATAAATACTTATTTTAATCAGTAGGTTCAATACTCATAATCATCCATAATATTCATTTATCATAATCATCAATTAACACAACAATTGATAATAAATAGCGGCCTAGCTTCGAGTGTTAACACCCGAACTTACCGTCATGCAACACATAACATTTTTTCGTTGTTAAAAACATCATTTTTATTATGGTAAATTGTTAGACAACAGTGCAACTCTAGAGGGGGGGTGAATAGAGTTGTTTTCAAGAATGTACGTTTTTCGTAAAAATTATCGCAGGAAAAAGTAAGGAGAGAAAGGGAAAGAAGAACACCGGGATTTATACTGGTTCACCACCTCGTGGCTAGTCCAGTCCTCCGAGAGACTCTCTCGAAAGTCCTACTAATCTTCAAGCTTCAACGGGTGCTTGAAAAACCGGTACAACTTGAGAACTTGAATCACACAAGCCTCACTTTCTTACAACAACAAGACTTGAGTCACACAAGTCTTTAAGAACAACACTCAAATGAAATTGAGTTTACAACACAAGAATGAAAGCTCACACAATTGAGCAAAGTAGTGTTGAAAGATTTAAGCTCTATGGATGACAACTTCTATAGCACTCAAAAAAATATTTCTAACTCTCAAAAATAATATTTTGATGATGAAAATGAAGCAAAGTATGAATAGCTCAGGGAAATATGTTGGAGTGCAAG